CTGGGGTGGGTGGATCACCTGAGCTCAGGAGTTCAAGACCAGCCTGGCCAACATGGCAAAACCCCATCTCTACTGAAAATACAAAAATTAGCCAGTCGTGGTGGCTCACGCCTGTAATCCCAGCTACTTGGGAGGCTGAGGCAGAAGAATTGCTCGAACCCAGGAGGCGGAGGTTGCAGTGAGCCAGGATTGCACCACTGCACTCCAGCCTGGGCGACAGATTGAGACTCCATCTCAAAAAATAAATAAATAAATAAAAATTGACCGCATTGATCAAATTCTGTAGCACACAAGTGACAGTCCTTGTATGGAATACTTACTCTTCCCTCAGGATTCCTCTGATATTCCATATGACACATGACTCTTTGGCATATGGTAAAAGTAGAGATGTCAAGTTGTTCTATATATTAAATGTTAGTGAAGCCTGGTTTCTTTCCTTTTTGGAAATAAAATACAAACATAATGAACATTTATATATTTTCTTAAATTACTCCACTTTGGAGGGCATAACCTTATACCACGTCCTAGTTTCAAGTAAAAAAGTTCACAAATTCTTGAGTCTACCCTAGCATTTAAAAGCTTACTAGTCTAGGTAAAGGTAGAGGAATGGGATTTAAGGTAATTCTGCAAAATTCTCCATACTTCTGTAACTGTGCATAAGTTAATTTTAAAGAACATGAATAAGAATCTAGTAAGCAGTCAATTTATTTAAAAGTAATTAATATTGTAATTATTTCATAGTTCAGAACCATTTGAAGTTCAGATTTTGTTTTTTAAAGGACCCAATAGGAAAAAGGAGTATTGAAGTTCAGAATTTTAAAACAAATTCAGACTAGTCTTCTTCATTAATGGTTCAAGATAATGAACCTTTAATGTGTTTTCATAACTTTGAGGTACTAACTTTTTCCCCCTGTGCTTCTTAAGCAATAGGAGTGAAACATCCACATCTGATAACACAGAAACTTACCAAGAGAATACAAGGTAAGCTTTTGAAAAATCCTGCCACGTTAGCAAATAATATATTTATTACTTTATCAAATAGCTTTTTAAATTAAACTTTTTTTTTTTTTTTGAGACAGTCTCGCTTTGTTAGCCCAGGCTGGAGCAGTGGTGTGATCTTGGCTCACTGCAACCTGCGCCTCCCAGGTTCAAGTGATTCTCCTGCCTCAGCCTCCTGAGTATCTGGTATTACAGGCGCCCGCCACCACGCCTGGCTAATTTTTGTATTTTTAGTAGAGACAGGGTTTCACCATGTTGGCCAGGCTGGTCTCGAACTCCTGACCTCAGATAATCCACCTACCTCGGGCTCCCAAAGTGCTGGGATTACAGGCATGAGCCACCGCGCCGGGCTGTAAATTAAACTTTAAAAATTCAGTTAAATCATTAGGCATAGTGTTTGAAGTTAGCAGTTTAGAAATAGAAAATGCAGTTACTGCTTTTAAGAATCACATTAGGTTAGAAGAGTTTAGCTATTCTCTTTCACTGTAGTCAGGTTTCTTCCACACATTATTCAGGTAAAGTTGCCATGTTGAACTGTCCCTTCCTGAAATTCAGAAGTATTAAAACTCAGTGATGCTTGATCCTTAGAATGTTTTCGAGTATTTCATTCTCATGATCAGTGCTTTTTTTGCTTTTCCTTTGAATTTTGGATGTTGGATTCCTAGGGCCTGATATTTATTAGAGATACAATATTGATGGAAGTCTTTTACAAGTTTTAAGTTCCTAGATATAAGGTTTGCAAAATGTGGAATACTACAGAATATTAAAAATTTTCAAGAGACATACAATGACAGCTATTGGCATCACACAAACGACTCCAATTAAGTTTGGACCTAACTACGCAATAAATGGAGCCAGCTAGGTTTTTGGTTTTGTTTTTGTTTTGACCTAGAGACACCATGAAAAAATTTACTGAGGACACTAAAAGTACTGTAAACTGAGATTGGGAACCTCTGTAATGCATCATTTCCTGAAAACATGTTCAAAATGAGAGAATCTTTGAATAGTCTAAAAATTATAACTTTTTAAAAAATGTGTAGTGATTCCTCAAAAAATAGGAGAGCATTATTTTTATGTTATGATTTTGAAGTAAGTATGTTTCGTTTAAAATTGTTTTATAGTTCTTCTGGTCATCCTACTTTTAAGTGTCCCCTGTGTCAAGAATCAAATTTTACCAGACAGCGTTTACTGGATCACTGTAACAGTAATCACCTATTTCAGATAGTTCCTGTGGTAAGTACATATGTTTAAGACAGTCTTCTGCTTAGAATAAAACGTGCTGTTCTGTTTATTTCACTTTATGTATACGAGGGAAAGTAGTTGATTTATATTTGGTTGGGGCTTTATCAGTAAGGTAGATTTTTGTCAACAAAGGATTGATGACTGTGAAGCAAAATGAGATATTTAAAATTGCAGTAACTCTCATTATAAAAAGGGAGATGCATAGTGTGAGGTAATATAGCAGTCTGGAGAAGAGTGAAATAATGAAAGATGAACTGGGAACTCATTCCTGCGCAGTAGCACAACCTGTCCATTGAGGCCTCAGTTACTACTTGCTCTGTAGATGGCAGACAAGTAGATCTAGTCAGGTAGATTGCTATAGGTGAAAATACCTATAAGTAAGAATAAAGTCAGCAGGTCTTTTTATTTTCTTGCAGAATATAGTATGTGAATGCATAAAGCAAGGAAAGAAAAGACTTAGACTTTCTATTTGATGCCTACATATTTTTTATGACATTTTGAGAGTATGTAAGAAAATGGTGAGAGCTTTTTGATAGTGAGGGAGATAGAGCAGAATTCAGGATTCCAGCATACAATGATCCTAGAAGTGTTTCACAGGTAAGTTATTTCAGCTGTGAATGGAACAGGAGAAACTGAGCTGGGAGAGATATTTCCCTTTCAGCTGAACATTTGGATATATAAATACTGTCTTCAGAAAGAAGAGGAAGGAAAATGTTATCAATAAGAATTGTAGATATTTCTAAGTTGTTTTATTGAGTATGCTAGGAAGAGTTGTGAAAGAATATGCTTCAGGACCGGGCACGGTGGCTCATGCCTGTAATTTAGCACTTTGGGAGGCCAAGAGGGGAGGATTGCTTGAGCCCAAGAGTTCGAGACTAGCCTGGGCAACATAGTGAGACCCTGTCTATTTAAAAATAAAGAAAATGAAAAGAATATCCTTCAATAACCATTGAGGGATGATCTTAAGCTCTCACATACCACCTAAGAAGGTGTACTACCTACTTTGCTTATTAGAATGGGTTCAGTTATGCTTAGGCAAATACAGTGCCAAAGAAATTCCAGGAAATCTCGCTCATATTTAAGATTTTACTTAGTTTTATATTGGATTACCAAATTTTTATTCATTTCTGCATAATATTCGATATATCATAAACTTTGACTAGAGTTTAATTACTGAAGGTTTTTTGTGTGTTATTACAATTATGTTATCCATTCACTTTTTAAGATGTACTTCATTTAAATGTAAGGATATGGCTGGGTGTGGTGGCATACGCCTTTAATCCCAGCACTATGGGAGGCCAAGGCAGGAGGATTGCTTGAGCCCAGGAGTTTGAGACCCAGCCTGGACAACAGCGAGACCGTGTCTCTAGTTTAAAAAAAGAAAAGAAAAACTAAGGATACAATTTAAAGTAAATTTTCCAGTGTACTTCATTTTTATTTTACTTACAAATGAAATAAAACTAATACTAATTATATGATTATTGTATAGATCAAATGAGATAATATATTGGGTATGTTGCAGGCAACCAGTTAGTGATAACTATTACAGCTGGTATTATTAAAAGCTAGATTTCTGTTGAAACATTTGTGTAATAAGAGATTTAAGGAATAGAATGATATTCTTACTGTGTTAGATTAATGTCATTTATCTAAGGTAATTAATTGGGAAATGATCTAGTCATGGAACTTGGCCTTTAAAAATGCTTCTCACGTAGATATTTTTGGTTACATATCCCTGTGCTATTTTAATAGTCTCAATAATTGTATAATATTTCATTGTTTTTATTAATTTTTTTTAAAACAATCCGTTTCTTATAGACATGTCCTATTTGTGTGTCTCTTCCTTGGGGAGATCCTAGCCAGATTACCAGAAATTTTGTTAATCATCTAAATCAGAGACATCAGTTTGATTATGGAGAATTTGTGGTAAGTGAATTCTTCAAGATTAAAAAAGTACTGTTTAAATATTCAAGTTAAAATAACTTTTTAAAAAAATCTAGACTTAAATTTTGTAGCAAGCTGTTGTATCTTACTGGATGGATTTAGAGCAAGTTCTTAGGTTTTTAATAATATTGGTGAACTTTAGCTTGTAGAAATGGTAAAAATGGAGTTTATTCTCTACCTCCTGTACTAAAGAGAATTAATAGAGGAACAGCAAGCACCCAGATTAGCAAAATGATGATTTACATGAAAACTCTGTGTAGATTTAAGGGAAAATTGTACCTACAAGAGAAGTAAAATTGGTACAACATATGGAGGATACATTTCTCATGTCATATAAGTTGCTTGTATTATGCTAGAAATCTTAGATTTCTCACATCTAACAAACATGTAAGACACATCCTTTTTTAAATGAGGGAGCTTAGTTATCAGGCAAAGCTAGGTTACAAAGAGACTAAGAGTGTAAGAGAAGTTGTATAATGTAAAAATGAATTCATAGAGCAAAATAGATTAATTTCTACTTCTAAATATGTGTGATATACTTTTAAAATTAGGTGAATACCTGTTTTGTTAATTGTTAAATTGCATTTTATTCAACTTCAGTTTAATCAAAACTTTATTTAAAATTAGCCCTGACAAAGAATGGCTATTTGTTTTCCAGTTTAGGTAAGCACAGTGACATGAACAAAATCTACATTTTTGTCTGCCTTCCAGTGTTGATTCTAGATTATTATTAAATTCTCATTGTAAGAAAGATTGTAATGTATTTGGAAATACAAAAATTTGTGAACCACTTTTGACCATTAGATCATTTTACCTTGCCATAGAAAAGTAGGTAATCTAGGCAGGGCGCGGTGGCTCACACCTGTAATCCCAGCACTTTGGGAGGCAGAGGTGGGCGGATCACAAGGTCAGGAGATCAAGACCATCCTTACTAATACAGTGAAACCCGGTCTCTACTAAAAATACAAAAAATTAGCCGGGTGTGGTTGCGGGTGCCTGTAGTCCCAGCTACTCAGGAGGCTGAGGCAGGAGAATGGGATGAACCCAGGAGGCGGAGCTTGCAGCAAGCAGAGATCATGCCACTGCACTCCAGCCTGGATGACAAAGCAAGATTCCATATTAAAAAAAAAAAAGACAAGAAAAGTCAATAATCTAATTATTTCACATTGTCAAATAGAGGCCTTAATTTTAAAGCAAAACTCATAGGGCATAAAATTGATAGCAAATATAGCAAATGTAATTTTTAAAATTAAGGAGTAGTTTTATAACTGATTGAATAAGCTGTAGACTTCATGTGATGGTTAAGAATTTATTACTCAGCTGGGCACGATGGCTCATGCCTGTAATCCCATTACTTTGGGAGGCTGAGGCAGGTGGATCACCGGAGGTCGGGAGTTCAAGACCAGCCTGACCAACATGGCGAAACCCTGTCTCTACTAAAGATACAAAAATTAGGTGGGTGTGATGGTGTGTACCTGTAATCCCAGCTACTTGGGAGGCTGAGGCATAAGAATTGCTTGAGCCCAGGAGGTGGAGGTTGTGGTGAGCCAAGATTGCACCACTGCACTCCAGCCTGAGTGACAGAGCCAAACTCCTGAAAAAAAAAAAAAATTCTTACTCAACTTATAATTCAATAAATGCTTGTTTTCTTAAAATCAGTTTACTGTCAGATATTTGGCATTATTTTCTAGAGATGAAATTTTCAAAAAATTCATAAATCAAAAAATATTTATGATTGTGTGTTATGATTAACTTCAGTTGTGTTTTTCTTTTTCTTTTATTTTTATTTTTTAAAGAGACAGTCTCCCTGTGTTGCCCAGGCTGGCCTGAAACTTATAGGCTCAAACTTACCTTCTGCCTCAGCCTCCTGAATAGCTGCAACTACAGGCGCATGCTTAGCCAGCTTTACAATTAACCACGTTTTTTATTAATGACTTATAAGGCATTATAAAACTCAGATTTTGTTCTGTGCTGATCTCTGTTTTACAACTGAACTTAAGTTTTTATTAAAGTTTAGGTATTCAAATCTTGTATCTTAAAAGATACCGTTATATATGTTGTACGTAACTGTCCTGAGTGTGTGTAATGTGTATCAAGATGTCTAATGTATTGGGCAAAGTATTGAGTATTGAGTATGTTTTTCCTGTTGACATGAATGTTGTTACTGTTTTTAGAATCTTCAGCTAGATGAAGAAACCCAATATCAAACTGCTGTTGAAGAATCTTTTCAAGTAAACATCTGAAGGCTGTAGACATCTCTGCATCTTTGTACCTGCAAGTGCCATCTTTAAGGGGGAAACTACATGAAGTCACCGTTTCAGTAACTTGATGTGTATATTAATAAAAGTAATTCAGTCATTTTAGTTTTTTATTGAAAATAAAGTTGGGGCTTCTAAAAACTTCATCCTCTTGATAAGTTAAAAAATGAAAGTTATGACATGAGCTTTAAAAGCATAAAAAAGATGTTTCACTAATGGTAAAAGAGAATCCCTGTTGTACTTTATCTTTTTGTAATATTAAATATTCTTGAATTTTTCATTATTATGTTGCTTTTGGAATTTGGTGCATTCCTCCCATTTACTTTATTATTGTACACATTTAACACACAGTATCAAATTTTGAACGATGTGATTGATATAACCTAACAAATCTGAGCCAGTTATTAGAGTTGCAGAATAGAAACTTGAAGTGCTAAATGGAATAATCCAAAGGAAATTTTTAAAATGCAGATTCTAGCTGAAAAATTCAACTATAAGAAAATTGTATTTATATAACATTTGCTATTTTTGAAGACTAGTGAGATTTCTGTAATAATTTTAGTTCTTTAAAAAGTGAAAGCTTGTTGTAAAGATACTTTCTTTTTGTTATTAGAAGGAAATACAAAGAGAAAAATTTATTTCTTTCATGGGCATTTGGTAATTTCAGTCTTTGACTGATTTGTAAGCCTGGCATATACTAAGCTGAATAACAGCTCTTTGGCCTCAGAATTTTCAGTAGCCAGTATTTCTGATTAACTAAGTTGAAACTCTTATTAGAAACTTTCAGTTGGTGATACTGTATTCTAGAAGATGTAAATGAGAGATTTGACTTCATCTCAGTTTAGAAATTTATTCAAAGCTAAAGATGTATATGTATATATACATACACTTTTGTGTGTATATATACACACACATATGTATGTATGCAGTTTGTCAGGTTATATATAGAATTTCTATTAAGGATTTTTTAAATGGACAAGCAATAGGGGGTTGAAGTGTTTATCTGATTTGTTAAAATTTTGTATATCACCAAATTAAAAACTGATAGTCACAGTGCTAAGTGATCTAGTTGGCTGCTATTACACCTTAAAAATTGAGTTTACACACACACACAATTAACTGTGTATATGGTGCTCATTTGTTATTCTCAAATATAATGTGTGACCGTGATACAATGAGAAAGATTCTACCAACCACTGTTTCACTACTTTTTAGTCAAAATTGGGTTTGTTCTTAGTATTCATTAGTGAAAATCATAAAGTATTTTGTAGAAGGCCCAAATCACAGAATAAAGGACTAAGAATGGGTTCGCTGACATTCCATACTAATATACATTGTTTATGCTTTCTTTAAAATAACTAAAAGAACATAAAAGAGAATCTCAGAAGTAGTTTGCTGCTAATATATACATATATTGTATAAAAAGGTATATTTTGGTTTTGTTAAAACCCTTGTTGACTTTTCTACACTGAACGTTTTTTTAACTTGATTTAATAAAAATGTTAATTTTGGAAGTGGAGTTTTGTAAAAACCTTTTTCAATCAAACAGTAAAGACTTTATTTATGGATTGTAATAACCACAAAAAAAGCCATACATCTTAATGAACATATGCCTTTGTTCTGTCATTTTAAGAGTGATGTTTACTATGTATATGCTTGAGCATTTTCTCTGCAGTTACATGGGTGTAATTTAAAAAACAGCTCCTTTTTAAGAGGCTTTTGACCATAGTTTTTTCTAGTTTAAAGCAGTAACTTTCATAGTTTCTTTCAAAGTTTAATACATCCAATATGTCAAGTTAAACCATTCTGGGATTTGGGAACTTCTTTAAAGGAAAATTGTAGTAGAGGTCATCTTGATGGAATTGTGTTTTAAAGTTTTGTGAATGAGTTAAATATCATTGATAGTCTTGTGTGTCTCACATACCAGCTTTTTCATAAGGAAAATACTATTTGCTTTTATCTGAGAATTTCTCAGTATGAAAATGATTGTTTAAAATTTCCCTTCTTTTTGTCAGTGAATTGGGAATAGGGATAGACTTTACAGATTTAATTTATGGAAATTAAATTTATGGGGAAAAGTTTTTATTTTGAATATTATAGCTGAGTCAGGATTAAAAGAGGGAAACTGTATTGATACTCCCAATACCTAAATTTCACAGTACCACTTAGGAAAGCTATTTCAACAAATTACAGTTTTGTTGTTAAACAGAGCCTTATTTGAGATGTATTGCTTTATTTTTCAATTAAAAGTGGTTTTCTCCTACTTGTGTGTCTAATTAAAATTTTGTCTGGAGGCAAACATTTAACTCTCATAATTCACCCTGAAAGACATATAGGAGATAACCCATTATTTTGCATTTAAAAACGTGGATAAGAAAAAGCTACCACATGCTGGTGCTATATGTCAGATTTAACTTTATAAACCTATTTTATCCATTTCAAATTGTTAATCACCTTATAAAGCAATTTTATGAAGTGTCCATGAAGGAAGATTTTCAAGCCCTGTTAGCAGCTAGGCAGAAAGATTGTTCATTGCTTAATAAATACTTTTATATGGAGATACTACTTTTAAGTAAGATATCAGGATTATAAGACTACATTGCCAAATACAATGTCATATACCTATGGGCTGCTTGGTAAGTATTAATTACGATCTTCAATACATCATAACTTCTACAGAAACCCCTTACAGCTGCTACTCAAACCCCTTGTAGAAGCGTGATTTTTTATCATACTATGTAGAAAAGGTGTGACCCAGAAAACATGTAAATACACATAAAACTCATAATAGACATAAGTAAAGCACCCATTCCATGATACGAGTTAGTGTGTAACATAATTCTCTGTGCAGTACAGTTCTGAAAAAAGATAGGGAAGGGAGGTGAGTTACAGGGGGATACAGGAATCTCAGGAAAATGGGTGTTACAGCCTGTCTCCCCGCTTCAACAACAGTGGTCCAGTCCTGGGATTGAGAAAGATGACATACACTGCATTCTTCCCCCAAGAGGAGTAAAATGGGCGTATTCCATTTTGTACTTTATTGACAAACAATTTAAACTATATTGTACTATGTCCTGTATAACGAACTCCTCCATCCTGAGGAACATATACCCCCATCTCTACAAGTAATCAAAAAATTGGCCGGGTGTGGTGGTGTGCACCTGTAGTCCCAACTACTCAGGAGGCTGAGGTGGGAGGATGGCTTGAGCTTGGGAGGATGAGGCTGCAGTGAGCTGTTACCGTGCCACTGTACTCCAGTCTGGATAACAGCAAGACTCTCTCAACAAAACAAAAAACAGGATTTTTATTTTTACTTTTTTGAGATGGAGTTTGCTGTTGTTGTCCAGGCTGGAGTGCAATGGCATGATCTCGGGTCACTGCAACCTCCACCTCCCGGGTTCAAGCGATTCTCCTGCCTTAGCTGGGATGATAGGCATGCGCCACCACACCCGGCTAATTTTTTGTATTTAGTAGAGACAGGATTTCACTATGTTGGTCAGGCTGGTCTTGAACTCCTGACCTCAGGGGATCCACCCACTTCAGCCTCCCAAAGTGCTGGGATTACAGGTGTGGGCCACCATGTCCGGCCAAAAAAACAGGAATTCTTAAGATTGTAATAGTGAAAGACATACTGCAGAATTTAAGACGAGCAAGGCAGGGGAATAAATATGGAAGACTGGTAACCAGATGAGTCACAGCCATTTGGTGGAGGATATGGAGAGGAAGAAAACAGGATGTGAGGGAGATTTCATATTTGTCTAAGTGGGCAATAATGGTACATGATGCTGAAAGTGTACAAAGTGAACAATAACCTGAAGTAATCCATGCTCAGGTCAAGAAGAAAAAAAAAGCATTACTAGAATCTCCTAAGTCTTTTTGTTTCTACTTCCAGTCACAACTAACTACTATCAGTATGTAACTTCTAATACCACACATGGGTTTGTGATAAGTGGAAGCACAGTAAATATTATTTTATATTTGGCTTTTATAACATTGTTTTGTGATTTTTCTGTTTTTTTCTTGTGTTTACAGCAGCAGTGACTTGTCTTTGTCCAGAACAGGAAAGCTTAGTCTTCTAAAGTTACATTTTAATATTTGTAAAAGTTGTATTAAATGTATTACAAGTGATTCTTTTATGTATGCTGGCACCTGGGGATGCCAAATGTAGCTAAAAACAAAACAGGTTGGTCTTCTCCTCATAACTGAGGAAGGAAGTGAAGAGCCTAGCCAAATGACCTTCCATTGCTCTTACCTGACTTTCCATGAGCTGTGTATGGGATGTTCTATCTTTCTTTTTTCTTTTTTTTTTTTTTTTTTGAGACAGTGTCTCACTCTTACCCAGGCTAGAATGCAGTGGTGCAATTTCTGCTTACTGCAACCTCCATCTCCCAGGTTCAAATGATTCTCCTGCCTCAGCCTCCTGAGTAGCTGGGATTACAGGTGTGCCTCTACACTTGGCTAATTTTTATACTTTTAGTAGAGATGGGTTTCACCATGTTGTCCAGGCTGGTCTCAAACTCCTGGCCCCAAGTGATCCGCCTGCCTTGGCCTCCCACAGTGCTAGAATTACGGGTGTGTGCCACTGTGCAGGGCCTGGATGGTTTTTTTGTTGTTGTTTTTTTGGGAGGATGGAGTCTCACTCTGTCACCTAGGCTGGAGTACAGTGGTGTGACTTCGGCTCACTTCAGCCCCTCCCAGGTTTAAGTGATTCTCCTGCCTCAGCCTCTCGAGTAGCTGGGATTACGGGCATGCGCCACCACACCTAGCTAATTTTTGTATTTTAGTAGAGACAGGGTTTTGCCATCTTGGCCAGGCTGGTCTCAAACTCCTGACCTCAGGTGATCTGCCCACCTCGGACTCCCAAAGTCCGATTACAGGCGTGAGCCACCATGCCCTACCTCAGCCTGGATGTTTTCTTTTCAAGACATTTTTGTAGGTATAGAATTTTATTTTTCTATTTTATTTTTTTTGCTAGGCTCCCTCAAATCATGGGAAGTATGAGATTTTAATAAGTATTTAAGGACTATATTTTCTGGGATAGGATCTGAAGCCACCAATAGAAACAAAAGGGGTTACAGCAGATACAGAAGGGTGTTGGGTAGATCTTTGTCAGAAGACCACACGTTTAAAACAACTGAGCCTACTTTCTTGGACCAGACAGCCTAGTTTTGATGATTCTGCTGGTTGCTACTTGTGTGGTTTGGACACATTTCTTAGCCCCTTTTACCTCTATGGTTTGTGAGGATTGAATTAGTTAATATTACAAAGAGCTTGGAAGAGAGCATGTTATGTTTACTATTACTGTGTATCCAATACAAGTCAACCTATTATATTTATATCTGGCAGGTCCTACTTTAGTCTAAAATCCTGTCAGGACAGTCTGGATTTTTTCCCCCCTTAAAGATAGAGTCTAAAGAGTTATTAGTCTTTATTTGCTGGCCTCAACTGTTTGTATTTTTTGTAGAGACAGGGTTTCGCCATGTTGCCCAGGTGGGTCTCAAACTCCTGAGTTCAAGTGATCATCCTGCATTGGCCTCAAGGCCTCAATCCCTTGAGCCTAAACTCCTTGTCTCAGGGGATCTTCAGCCTTTTGAGTTGCTGAGACTACAGGTGTGTGTTGCACCTGGCTTGCTAGCCTCAACTTTCGTGGGAAGATCTGAGACGTTGTCTTTGTTTCCGACAAGTACAAACACCCCACACATGAGGAATTCTAAATAAAACATATCTTTTAGAATAATTGTGCCATTGTACTCCAGCCTGGGCAACAAGAGCGAAACTCCTCAAAATAAAGAAAAAAAAAAAAAGAAGAAGAATAAAGAACAATCAGCTGATGATCATACTTCTCAATTGAATGTATACCTAGGATTTATGATGAGAAATTTACTTAACCCACCCATTTTTTAACATGTTTGGTTCTTAGTCCAATAATTACAATGAAACTATTGTCTCTAGGAGAAAAATATTTTGCAACATTAGCAAATCACTTGACTAGCTTACATATGATATCTAGGTTATTTGGTAGTATCAAAGGGTATAAAATAGTTTTTCTGACCTTTTTGAAAATTTTATGAGTAATGGTTGAGAATACTACTCTGTACCAACTGTTTCTGTTTCCAGATATAATTGATATGTCACAACAGCATTTTCTGTGTTTATGAAGTAATTTTAGGTTTACTTAGCTCACACTTTTCAAACTTCTTACCTCAGGAGCCCTTTACCCTTAGAAATTATTGAGAACCCAAAAGCAGTTTTGTTTTTGTGAATATAGTCATGCACCACATAACGACATTTTGTTGTTGATGGGCCACATACACAATGGTGGTCCCTTAAGGTTATTACTGTATTTTCACTCTACCTTCTCTATGTTTAGATATGTTTTCTATGTTTAGATGTGTTTAGATAAACTGTGTTACAGTTTCTTACAGTATTCAGTATAGTAGCATGCCGTACAGTTCTGTAGCCTAGGAGCAATAGGCCACACCATGTAATCCAGGTGTGTAATAGGCTTATACTATTGAGGTTTGTGTAAATATACTCTGTGATGTTAACGCAATGAGGAAATCACCTAATGATAATGTTTCTCAGAACATATTCCTGTCATCAAGCA